AATGGTTAGAACAGCTTCATCTGTGATTTCCTGATACTGAGGTGACACTGAATGACCCCAGAAGTGAGTTCCCAGTGCAGAAGCTGATTTTGTGTTGCAGGGACACCATCATGTACGCAGTGTCTGCTGATGCCAGAGGCCTGGACACCGTGGTCAACTTGCTGGCTGATGTAACCCTCCAGCCCAGGTTATCAGGTCTGGCAGCACAAAAACACCATTTCCACCACATGGCTTGCTCTATAAGAGCTCAGAATTCCCTCAGAAGTGACCTTGCAGCGCTGGGGGTTTTGTGTAGGGGTTGCCATCTCTTGCTTTGTCTCCTTGCAGATGAAGAAATTGAGATGACCCGAATGGCCATAAGGTTTGAGCTGGAGGATCTGAACATGAGACCTGACCCAGAGCCTCTCCTGACAGAAATGATCCATGCGGTAACACACTGGGAATTCCTGCTGTTTTCTCTTCCTCGTGGTTTTTGGCAGCTCCAGGGTTTATTTTAGACTGTTCTAAAACCAGATTTTTTCCTTATTTAGTTTCTGTGATGGGAGAATTTGGCTGCCCCTTCACTTTGAAATCCAGCATTCAACACGTGTGGAAGATTCTAACCCAAACTGAAAAATAATTCTATTTTCACCCACATTTTGTGGGTGATTCTATTCTCTTTCACCCCCATTTTGTTGATGTGGGTGATAAAATGTTACTGAGTTGCACTGACATTAGGGAAATACACTCAGCTTTTCCTCTCTCAGCTGTGGGCTTAATTCCAAAGCAAAAAGAGGTTTAGAGAGGGGTTTAGGGAAAAAAATGAAGTGATTTGTGATGTTAATGTGTCTGTTCCCTTTTAGGCAGCCTTCAGAGACAACACAGTGGGACTGAACAGGTTCTGCCCCGTGGAGAACACGGACAAAATCGACCGGGACGTGCTGCACTCCTACCTGAGCAGTTACTTCACCCCAGACAGGATGGTGCTGGCTGGGGTGGGCATTGAGCACGAGCACCTGGTGGAGTGTGCCAGGAAATACCTGCTGGGGGTGGAGCCCGTGTGGGGCTCTGGGCAGGGCAGGGCTGTGGACAGGTCCGTGGCTCAGTACACCGGCGGCATCATCAAGGTACGTGGTGCAGGGGGCAGCCAGCAGCTTGCTGGGATTTGCTCATTTCTCTCCAGGCTTCTGCTTTTCTTAAGTTGTATTTCATGAGTATGAGCCCAAGCTGGCCATGATAGCTGTTAATTGGGTGGCATGGTGATTGTATCAAATGTATCACACTGGGTACAACAGCTATGAAGATTGGGGTTAATGATCTGTCTGCCTTTCCCACAGGTTGAAAAAGACATGTCAGATGTGAGTCTGGGCCCTACTCCCATCCCAGAGCTCACCCACATCATGATTGGGTTAGAAAGCTGCTCATTTTTAGTAAGTATTGACCTGAAATCCCTCATTTTGTGTGCCCTATACTTAGAGTACATATACCTATTCCTTGGAGAATCCCAGGAGCACTGATTCATTCCACAAACATTGACATTTTTGCTGCTGCACATAAAAACAAGCAGCATTTTCCACGACACTTTGCTGAAGGCCTTGACCTTCACACTGCTCTTGTGCTGTGGTTTTTAACTCCCCGTTACTCAGCCCAAACCCTTGAGAGCTCTGCCATTACCTGAGTTTGTTGTTCCAATCCAGGAGGACGATTTCATTCCTTTTGCGGTGCTAAACATGATGATGGGAGGTGGTGGCTCTTTCTCAGCTGGAGGACCTGGCAAGGGCATGTTCACCCGGCTGTACCTCAATGTGCTCAACAGGTGGGTTTGTCTTGCTCTTTAAGAGGTGCCAGAAACAATCCTGGAGCAGATTTACATGGGAAAAAAAAAGCAAATCCCACCAGGTTTTACATCAGTTCATTCTGCTTGGAATGTGGGACTGGTGTGTCAGTTGGCATTTTGAGAGTGTGAAAGTAAAGGGCAGAAGTCACCAGGAATTGTGTTTTCTCCTGCTAGCCCTGTCCATGCTTCAGTCAGGGAATATTAACAGGATTGGCTCTGTATTGCCTTTGGTCTCAAAGATTGAAGTGGAGAGAAGGGAGTAGATGCCACATGCATAAATTGTCAGAGGGAGGGATTGACAATTCTCACTGCGCTGCTGAGAATCCTGAGAATGCACGAGGAGGGTGCTCACTGTCCCTGTTTAATTTTTGCATTGTAAATTTAAATTTTAAAATACTGCTCGTATACTCACAGGCACCACTGGATGTACAATGCCACCTCTTACCACCACAGCTATGAGGACACGGGTCTCCTGTGTATCCATGCCAGTGCAGATCCAAAGCAGGTACAGAGTCCTGTACTCAGAGGCAGGAGTCCTTGAGCAGTAACCACATCAGCAGCAGAGTTCTGTGGACACAAGAAGCATTGTTCTGATCTTCTTTCCATTATTGTTTTCCCCAGGTTCGGGAGATGGTGGAAATCATCACCAGGGAATTCATCCTCATGGCAGGAGCAGTGGGAGAGGTCAGCAGCACATTTGAGTTTGCAGATGGTCTTTGAGCTGAAATAATCCCTGGAAGTATCCAAGGCCAGGCTGGACAGGGCTTGGAGCACCCTGGGATAGTGGAAGGTGTCCCTGCTAATGGCAGGGGTGGGACTGGATGGGCTTTAAGGTCCCTTCCAACCCAAACCGGTCTGGGATTCTGTGAATGCATTGCATTGACTGTGTTAGAATGGATTTTCATAGATAATTTTGTTACATATTTCTGTAAATGAATACAGCAACCGTTAGCAATGCATTCACAAAGAGAGAGGTGTCTGCAGAACTCTTCCATGTTACATTGTACTACAGACCAGCAACAAGATTTTTTAAAAATTTCCTGCTCATTCACAGGTAGAACTCGAGAGAGCAAAGACACAGCTCAAGTCCATGCTCATGATGAACCTGGAGTCTCGGCCAGTGATCTTTGAAGATGTGGGGAGGCAGGTTTTGGCAACAAACACAAGGAAACTACCTCATGAGCTCTGTGACCTCATCAGTGAGTAGACAATTCTTTGCCTTGCCTTGAGGGAACTGTGGGTATAGTTAAAATACTCTTGTTGCACTGATGAATTACCTCTGAAAGTCTGGGGGCATAAATACTACAGAAATACATTTCAAACTGAGCTTAATTGCTTTCACAATTAACAGCACAGGGCTTATTTTAGTCAGAAGGAAGGGAAAACAAGAATCATGATAGAGGAGATACGGAGTTGATTTTCTGAGCATGGGGCTAAAGCTGCTTTGTGCTATTCACAGTGGAGGTGTCACAGCTCTGCCTTTTTTCTGCCTGCAGGCCAGGTGAAACCCAGTGATATCAAGAGGGTGGTGACCAAGATGCTGCACAAGAAGCCAGCAGTGGCTGCCCTGGGTGACCTGACAGATCTGCCCACGTACGAGCACATCCAGGCCGCCCTTTCCAGCAAGGATGGGCGGCTCCCGCGGCTCTACCGCCTCTTCCGATAGAGCAGCGCCTCCTGCCCTGCCTCAGAATCCCTTCTTTTTTAATGGTTTTTTTTTTGATTCTCATGTTGCTGTACCACCCTCCCTGCCCCCAATGCTCCCAGGCATTCTGTGCAGCCATGGAGCTGAGCAAAGCTGCTTTGGAGCACTGGACTGTGAAGGGCTGGTGTAAGGAGCCAGCACTGGCTCTGGAGGAGGAGTTTGACCCTCTGAGTAGGTTACAAGAGAAGATGGGTGTTGACACCCTTCTCTTGGCTTTGGGGAGAACAGAGCAAGCCAAAAGATTCATCACTACAGTGAAAGCACATCTCTGAGCAGTCAGTCACTGCCTCTTCATCACCCCAGCAGTGGAAGTGGGGCTGTCACATGAGGCCCCACTGTGCCCTTCCCGAGGAATGTGTGGCACCTTTAACAGCTTGGCTTACATGTCTGAATTCAGAGAATATTTATAACTGTTACCAAGGTGAAAGACTTGGTCAAACTAAATTAGGAAAATAATAGTTACTGTCCCTGTGAAGTTAGGCAAAAAGTTTCCTGCAATCCAGATTTTGTTACAAATCATGGATACATTTCATCAGTGTAATTCACCATCTGACAAGGAATCACCCGCCTGGGAATAATTTCATCATCTTGCTAGAGTTCCAAGGAAAGCAGCCCCATGACAGAACCAGATTTCTGTGGCGTTCCTCTGCAGAGGTACTGTACATAATGAACACTTACTTGAGAATGAGATCGATCCTATTCTTTAGGTTTTTCACTTGGGACATGAACTGTGCTAAAGAATAAAAGTTCTTTTCCTCCAGAGTTGCTTTACAAACAGTTATTAAAGGAGTTGCTGCTGCTGCACCTTAAACTTGTGCCTCATTTCCTCAGTGTCATCCAGATGGACTTAAGGCCTTGCAAAAAGAAGACACAATCAGTCTCACAGCAGAGATGTGGCTCAGCTGGAAGTCAAGATAACAAAATCACATTTAGGAACACGATCTTGACTGACACCACGTCACAGAAAGCCAAGTGCCACATGTGTGACGTGCTAAAGAAATGGAGACTCGAAAGAGGAATAAAACACTGGATTTTTATAATCCCCTAATACATGGGTTTAAAAATACAAGACAGCTGCACTGCAGCTCTTCACTGCTAGATGTGTACGGTAAGGAGCAATGCAGCTGGGAGCAGAGCACTGCGAGGCTGCTCTTACCTGCTTTACCCCATCCGTTCCTGCAACTCAAAAGAAAATGTTGCATTGCTTCCTGCAGAGCCCACAGTGTGAAAGTCCTGTTCAGTTGTTGTATATGCTTGTGAGGAAATAAAGAGACCGCTGAACAACTGAGCAAGTAGTAAGAGTTCTGAAATTCATCTGCCAAGGGTTTCCTGAGCTGGCCACTGGAAGATGCTTTGTTCAATGCAAACAATTTCAGAGAAATCTGTCCCACCCCTCCAGCTGAAGACATGGCCCAGGTTACCCAAACACACACCACACAAAGAACTCTGGTTCTGACAACAATAAAAGCTGGTTCTCACTTAAGGTATTGCATTAATTTATTTTTATTCCTTTAAAAAGAAAGGAAATCCAAATACCTGATGGCTACAGACAGGTCAGTGCCATAAATGTACCGCAGAACAGGAGCCTGTCTTGGACAGGTTGCATAGTCAGCAGCACTTCCTCCAAGGTGTTTGCATGATGTTTTAGGTCCTAAGGTGATTATTGATCCCATCTGTGCCCATGAGGAGTTCTTAATTATTAGCTGTACTTAACATTTTACCAGTGCCATACTGGTCCTTGTAGTATATATAGCCTTAAGACAACACTACCTCAGAAATAGCAAGTTATTCACAGTTTACTGATCTGGAAAAATAAAACCAAAAGGAATTGACTGTGATTGGAGGTAATGGAGCTGTGTGGAGCTGAGTGGCTGCAGGTGCTCTGCAAACCTCCCTGGGGCACTCACTTGGCATCACTTTGGTGAAGCATCACACAGTGCCTGTTCTCAGATAAATTCCAGCTCCTGCTGCTGGAGGCAGGTAGTGCTTAATCAGCCCTGGGGAGGACAAGTGAGTTCAGGAAAGGATTGCTTCAAGCAGTCTCAGCAGACAAATATATGGCCTGAGAGTTTGGTATTTACCCCCTTAGTAACAGAAGGCCTATAGAATGATTATTGAAAGGCAATGTTTCTACACTTCAATGTACAGGAGTACATTCACACACAATTTGCTGTGGAGGACCCAAAAAGCCCAACACAGGAGCACCATCTGCATGCACAACTGCCATTAACTGGTCCCTGCTACTCCTTGTACAGAATACCAACACTTGGCTACAGAGAAGGAGCAAACCCAACCCCACACTGGATGGAAGTTAATCTGACCAAACCAAAGAGACAAACAAAGAATTCACCTTTCTGCAGGCTTTTCTTAGGTCCCCTGCCCTGGACAATGCCAGTTCCAGCAGCTGTGCCCCAGCATGGAGGGGAACCAAGGTCTGCTACCCAGTGGCTTCCTAAGATAGTCTGGTTAAAAATAAATCAGTTACACCAGTTGGGATGGATGTCTTAAAGAACTGACTCCTTTCCTTAGGCAGAAGCACTTGAGCTACATGGATTAGCTCATGCAAATGAATCCAGGATGAGGTTTAAGACATTCTTCACAAGCCACAGCAACTGCCAGAGGTGCTTAAGCAGACAATTCCCTGCAGAGTTTGCCACGGTCTGAAATCCTCTTTCAGGGTACCTCTACCACAAGCACTGCAGAGCTTTCAGTTCAAGAAATGCTACATATGCTGCTGGATCTTTGGTCCTTTTGTTCCCGGCGTTTCAGAAGCTCCCTTGTGGCTCTCCTCCTTATTCCGATTAAATACAGATCTCTGTCAAACAGCCCTGCAGCCAGGGGGATGCTGCAACAGGAACACAAGCCAGTAGGTCAGGGCATAAATATGTTCTTGTTTGCCCAGCATTTCCTTACTACTTCACACAACAAAGGCCACAAATCTGATTTTTACTTTCTTAAGGCATTCAGCGACTGCTGTGGCAGAAACAAAAGTTGTTCTTCCACAGCAACAAGTTAAGCTTTTTCACAATACTTTAAAATGTTGGTTGTAAAAGGGAAATGTACTTTAAATTTTAGCATGAACTCACCTGCTTCCATATATAGAGGACTTTCTTAATGACTCTGAACTAAAACCCACTCATTTGAAAAGCTATACCAGGTTACTGCTAACTTGGTGTACTCACTGATGTGGTTCATCACAACAATTCTTACCTTGGTCTCTTCTAGAGAGGAAACCTGAGCAGCCCATCACACACTGCTATTTAATGGGTATTTAATACCCAGAAATAAAAATTCCCATTGTAATTGCACTGCTGATCAAATACATTGAGAATCACTTTTTTAGATATTCAGGTCTTGAAATCCCTGACCAGGTTACTCACAAAAAAGAGAATAATTCCAAACCAAATTTCCTAAGGAGTTCTACTAATACAATAGCCTATGTAGGACATTAAGAGCTTGGAGGATCTCAAAATACTCCAGTGACATCCAGCTGTGCAGAACTGCAGCCACCACTGGGGAGGGAAAGCAGAACTGATCCTAAACAGGGAAAGAGGAAGAGAAGAGGAAAGCTGCCCATGCTGATAGGGAAAACAAAGAACTGCCTCTCAGATAAAACACAGATTTATATTCAATTCCAGTGGGCTCTGCTTATCCCCCTCAGAAGGATTAAGAAACCTGGCAGCAGGGATTTCAGCTGTCAGGGCAAGGTTTAAGCTCTAAGTGTTCTGACCACCAGCATGCACTGGGTAAAACCCAACAGGCTGCAGGGACAGACACAGCAGAAAATCCTCGGGGTCACTGGAGCAATCACGAGCAGTCATGTGGAGCTGCAGGAGGTACTCACTTGTCCCTGCCAGGCCTCACTTTCACACGAAACAAGGCAAACACAGGTCGGTGGTCTGAGGTTTTGATGACAGGACAAGAGGAGTATTTGACAGCCTGGATGTCATCCTTGTAGCGGCTGCGGAACACCACTCGGTCCTGGAGGCAGAGGGGACAGTGAGGGTGAGCCCCTCTGCACATCACCCACCCTGGAAAGCAGCACTGCTTCACAAGAGACAAATCCAATCATTCATCACGCTCCACTTGGTGAAGTTAACGTGTCCTTGGATGGGGATCCATCCATTCATTGTCTGATCCCAACAGTCCTGTGCCAGCTCTGAGCACAGGGGAGAGCCCGCTCACACAGGAGGTAAGGCAGGGAAAATAAGGTTAACAGCCTGGGCCAAACTCTCCCTGTGCTCACAAATTCAACAATCCTTTCTTCCAGAAGTCCCAGCTGCCCTCAAGCAATAAATCTCAACTCAATGGAATCCCCTTTGACTTCTGAAATCATCCCTTACCGTGTAGGAGGGAGTCCTTTGTTTGGAAGTGGTGTCATAGCTGTCCTTTCCTATGTCAAACTTGTAGGAAGGACGGAAATGGATAGCAGCCTCTTGGAATCCTTTGAAAATAGACCCTGTAAGGGAAGAGAAGAATGGCATGAACAAACTCCTCCTTCCTGAGAACTGGGCACTGTGTCTACTAATGCTGGCTAGAAACAACAGCCACGTACATCCCAGAAAAACCTGGGCTTGGGCTCCAGAAAGGGAGCAAGTTCCAGTCCTGACATGGAGAGGATAAAAAATAGGCAGTGGCTGTTTAATCGGTGGTCAGTTAAACAAAGAAGAACTGGTCCATGCACTTCCCCTTCCACTGAAACTCGTGCTGCTTTGCTAATGCTGTTCAAATCTAAATTTCCTGGGCACTGGGACAGAAAGATGCCCAGTTAAGGGTTATGGAGGAGTCAGATGAAACAGCAGCAAATGGCTTGGGAGGTTACATTAAACAGAACAAACTGCTACAGCAAAAGGTCCCTTGACACACTGCCACTGTATTTGACAGCTGCTGATTCCCTTCTTTAGGGAACTTAATCCAAAAAATCAGGAGAGGTCTCAAGGAGATGGGAACTGGGCTGACATTACTCCTGTGAGTAGGCATCTTTGTTTCTGGAGAGGAGGGAGATGAACAGCTGCCCCTTACCCCGACTCATCTCACTGGTCAGCTGGTCATACGCCAGGAGCTTGGACACGTCTGTGTCCGGGTTCTGGTTCAGGATGGAATCCACAGTCTCCCGATCCTTATTCAGCCGGAAGTTGAAGTCCCCAAACCAGAAAACTTCATCAAACCGAGTTGTGACATCACCTGCAAATTCACACCACAGGTGTTCAAGGGATGCTGCTGAATGTGGTCGAGGAACAGGAAGAAATTCTTTCTTTTCACTACCTGGAGATGTGATATTGAGTATGTTTTCTACCTGTGATCACTGCTGAATATGGGAATTAACAACCCAGGAGAAAACAGAACCGAAATGTTAAAAACCATAGAAAAAGCTGAAAAGAGACCAAACTATCTATAGGACCTAACACCAGAGGGAATACAAGAAGCTAATGCTGCACTACAGATAAAGAGTATATTCAATTTCCTAGTAGAAGGACCTAATTATCTATCTAGGTATCAAGTTGTCAGCACAGTATTTAGGAAACAATAATGGACTTCGGCAAACAATGCTCTGACCTGTGTCACTATGCAAAGTGACATAAGCTTTATTCTCTTAAATTTGAAAAAACATCATTCCTAATTGTTCTAGAAAACACCCAGAAAGTAAAACACATCTGTAATATTAATAATAATTAAACCAAAATTATCATATTTCTAAAATAATACATCACGTAAAAATTCCCTTTTGATTTTTTTCTCTCCCATTTCTTCTCAAATTCCCAACTTCAAGAAAAAGAAATAAATCATGGGAGTAATAACCATCCTCAGACAAAAAGACCTGTGGTTTCTTTTTACACAGTCTCTTTCCCAGTGCAGACAGAGATAATGCACAGACTCTGCTGACCCGGGCTCCCCACGCTTATGGTTTCACACTTACTAGAACTGGATCGATATGGATTTGTGTCCGGAACATTCTTGGGAAGTGTAAGGGCTTGAATGGTTTTATTGTAGTCCAGTTTCCTCTCATTCACTTTACTGTCCCCAGCTGCAAGACAAAAAACCCCATTACTACCACCAGTGAATAATTTTCATTCAACAATCATTTTTTGTTATACCAGGAGCTTCCAAAGGGTATCAGACATTTTCCACATATCAAATGTGACACTCTGGGAGCGTCTGCACTGAATAATGGTGGCAGAAAGTGTGGGAAGAGGGACACAATGGTGCAGAGTTCATTTCTGTTTCCATTAACACAGTTCTTTTGTAAGTTTGTTACCAAATAAACTTCCTCCCTTATCTTTGTCAGCTCAGCAATCCTGAGCTTTGGCTTCAGCCTGTCCTGCTTTTTCACCTCTGTACAGCTCCCTCCCCTCCTCCCTCAACCAGGACACTCGTAGCAAGATTGCAAATGTCTCACATGTGAAGTGGGAAGTGATGAAGAGAAAGGAGGTCCCAAAAAATGTGAAGCTGATTCCCAGAGCTCCCTTGGTTTTGATCTGAGACACGATTCGAGTTGTCACCGTGGCATACTCCACTTCTGGAAGGAAGAAAAGAAGATGCTGTTACTGAAATGCTTCTGACAGGGAGCAGGGAGATTAGGAGAGGGAGAAAAGGCAGGGCAGAGGCTGGCAGCAGTGCCTTCAGCTCCCCACCCACCCGAGCAGAACCAGATGAGGTCCCTGCGGATGAACACGGACATGTAGAGCACGCCGTGAGCAGCCGAGTGCAGCAGGACGTAGTGGGGGCCCAGCGTCTCCTGCAGGCGGATCTCCCACTCCCTTCTGCAGGAGAGAACAACAGCTGCATCACACAGACAGCACAGGAGACAACAGCCAGGAGAGCACATCAGCCTTGTGCACACACAGCAGTCCCTCTCACACACAACATCAAGGCATAAGCAGAACCTCCCTGCACTGAACTAAGGGGTGGCTGCTGAGGTGCCACAGAAATCAGCAGAGCTTTGCCCTCAGGATGAAATTCTGTATGCACACAGAAGCTGTTCTATCCCTGAGAGTGTCCAAGGCCAGGCTGGACAGGGCTTGGAGCACCCTAGTCTAGTGCAAAGTGTCCCTGCCCATGGCAGAGGGTGGCACTGGATGGGCTTTAATGTCCTTTCTAACCCAAACCATTCTGGGATTTTATGATTTACAGATCTCTGTCACTTTTTCCTCTAAATCCCATTTCCTCTGGTGCTCATGTAATAGAATTCAGTCTTGTTAAATGGGTTGATTATTGAAAATATTAGGAATACAATGGAGACTATTTCTAGTCTAATTCAAAGAAAAATGATTAGTTAACAATAAAAGAAGATGGTTCATTACATTGTTTTTGCTACCTGTCTGGACAGCCTTCTTGAACCCCAATGACATACATGTCCTGGGCAAAGTCTGGATCTGTTGGCAATAAGAAGTCATCCAGATTCACTGGAAGTTCCTATTACACAAGAAATTTAAAAGAAAAAGAAAGAAAAGAAAAACAATATTAATTATGCAAATATTTACTAGAAGAATACCTTGTAATTTGACAAAGATGACCAACAAGGAACATAGTCTTGAACAGAAAAACATTCCCCCAGTCCTCTCGGCAGAGCTGGGGTAACTTTACTGCCAACTTTACTGTGCACCTACCTTCTGCCCCTGCATGTTCCAGGTGGCCACAAAGATTCCCATATTCCGATTAGGGAAATATCTGCTGAGTTCTTCTGCTCCCATTAAGGCACCACTTGCCAGAAGGCTGCCTTCCAAATAGCTCCTGTGGACAGAAGACCCAAAAAAGAGCATTTAAAGAAAGGGAAGGGCAGCTGGGATATTGTGTAATGTTTAAATCTTTAAGTAAGCAAGAATACACCTTTAAGAAGAAGGAATTTAATATTTATAAGTTGTTCTGCTTGCCTGAAGTTCCTTCCAAAGCCAGGACACGAGGGTGATGGTGAGGCTGATGCTGCTCAAGTTCTGTGATGAGAAGACTGAAGCCATCCAAAGTCTTCAGCCCCACTAAACTCATCCAGATACAGAACAAAGAATTTGGTTTGGTAACTTTGGGGTGCCCACAGGAGCTGTGGGTGCCCCTGGATCCCTGGCAGTGCCCAAGGCCAGGCTGGACAGGGTTTAGAGCAGGCTGGGACAGTGGAAGGTGCCCCTGCCATGGCAGGGGTGGCACTGGATGAGCTTTGAGGTCCCTTCCACCCAAACCATTCCATGATTCTGTGATTCCATTAAATTTGAGTACCTTGAAGCAGCTCAGTTTACTTCAAACATCAAAACAGTTCCACCATTCCCAGTGTTATGGCATCAGGTTTCTTTAACCAAAAACTCAAACTCACTCATTCTTCCTTCAATTCAGCTGATCAAATCAACTTCAAGAAAATAATTTATTGAGCCTGAGGTCTCAAAATATCCCCTTTGGGAAGCACAGATGCATCCCATAGCACCCACAGGATATGATTACAGAGGTGAGGGATGCTGGCACAGGGACTTCATGTTGAATAAGCATTTTTAATCTTGCTTAAGCTCTGCAAATAATGATGAGAGAATAAAGTCAGGGAGTTCTGGGCAACCCAGCACCGTCCACCTGGCAGTGCTTTAGGGAGGAATGGGAAAGAAAACGCTCATGGCAAACAAGTAACAATCTAACTTTGGGGCTTTTTTTACCAGCTAGTAACATTTTAATTTATCTCAGAATTATTTCCCCTCTACTACTGACTCCCAGGCTTTGGATCAATGATTAGGATTTTCCCTCCTGTGGGATACTGGAGTAGTTCCCAGCACATAATGTGATCCTGCCAGAAAGCAAACAAGTGCAACTTCTGCTCAGCACCTCACAGGACTGTGATAATGCTGCATGACAATCTCAATTTAAAATATCTGGTGCTATTTTTTTCTGTAATTTATCATTTTGGTTCAAGCCCAATGTACTTTTAGATTTTTCTAAAAAAAGTTTTCCCAACTGCTGGCATGCACAGCCCCCACTTCTTAATTCTCAAACCAGATTATGTTAGTATTACAAGCAAACTGACAGCAAACCAGACTCATATTTATGAAAATACTCAGCTAAAAGGAGGAAAGGAGCAAATGCAGAGTATTTGTACTGATCTCTTCATCTTCCAGCTCTCTTCACAGCAGGTTAAATAACAGAGAATGGGTTTTGAGAGCTCACAAGTTCCCTGCCCAGTGGGATTCTTCTCCCTGCTGACAGCCCAAAAGCAGGAGAGAAGCTGGGGGAGCCCTACCTGCTGCGGACATCCTTGGCTCGGATGGGAGTGAGCACGCTGAAGGTGGATTTCATGGAGTCTGTGGAGCAATTGTCATAGAGTGTCCCATTGCCCTGCAGCCGGGAGTCGCTGAGGCTGCTGCTCACCCTCCCAAACTTGTGCTGAGAATAATGTCGGTAATCCAGGCAATCCGAGTCGATCCTATTAGCTGTCCTCAGCGAGTGGGAGGCCACGTTGAGCTCCATGGGAGGCAGGGGGCGGGCCGGCATGATTTGGGACAGGCGGGGTTTGCCCCCCGCGAACCCCTTGCCCCGCAGGAGCCCCCCAAAGGCACTGGAGATCTCGGAGGCTCGTTTGCCCAGGTCCGAGGTGCCTGCCCTGCTCTTCCCCCCGGGACTGGCTTCCAAGGCGTCTGGTGAACTGTGCAAGGAATCCTGCTGGCAGCAGGGATTGCAGGGGCTGGCCCTGCCCCTGGTGGGAGGGCTGGGGGACGCTTCCTGCAGGGAACCGTTGGAGGAGCTCGTCTCGTTGGGATCAGTCAGACTTTCCTGGCTGGTCCTAAATCGTCTCCACTTCCTCCAGCTCTTTTCATCCAGGGATGCAGCACGTTCCAGCCGGGGCTTCCGAGGGGGCCTTGGAGTGATCGATTTAATTTTCATGTTAGCTTTGAGTTCTTCTGGCAGAAGCTTTAAGGTCTCACTTATGGGCGTGCCTATTTTCGGAGGTGTCCCATCACCCCCAGCCTCCTTTCTGGCTGCTTTTCCAGCTTTTTTTGCCTGCAGGTCCTGTACTGCTCCACCCTCCATGCTCCGAGTAAGACACAGCCTTGAGTGTTGCGGAAATCCATTTGGAGTACTCATTGTCCCCCAGGTACCAGCTGTGGATGCTGCTCCAGGTGAAAGGTTCCTCAAAGCATGCTTTCCTTCCCTTTATCACAGGGCTTTACTCAGCCAGTGAGACATGGGAATTGCAGACAGCTCAGCCTTTAGCTGGGAATGAAGGGCAGGTGAATGTGCAGGCAGATGCATCGTCTGCAAAATTCCAAGACGTGTGGGTACCTGGATTCCCCCAAGAGAAAGATGTAAGAAGGAAAAGTTATCGAGCTGCAAACTGTTCTCCTCCATCAGAAAGCATCTCCTTGCAGGACCTCCCTATAGCACAACTCACACCCCAACGTGACCTTGTTAGAAAATCACTGTTCTTTCCTGTTTTTTGCCCAAAAGCAGAGCAGAGACCTCCTGCACGGCTGTGTACACCCTTCTTTCAGGAAAGGCAGCGTGCCCCGCTAGCACGAAAGGGAATTTAAGCTGCCCAGAAACCACAGCTCGTTGTCCTTGCTGTACACAGGCGTCACCAGCACCGGCTGCCCGAGGCCAGGAAATTTCCAGCGATCCCACAGCCGGGAAATCGCTGCCGCTTTTTCCTGCCTTGCACCAACCCCGACACACCGAGAAACACCCCAGGGCTGGCCTGAGCTGCGGAAACGGGCTGCGAGTACATTTCTACAGCGGGGGGGAAGCACCTCGTCATTCTGCGGCTACCGCGGAGCAGCCGAGCCCGGCCCTGAGGGGGCAACGCGCGGGTGTGAGGCAGCCCCGGGCGCGGGTTTGGCACCGAGGGGCCGCCGCCCTCAGCCCCGGCCGGGCGGGCGGGACCCGGCCCGCACCTTCACCCCCCTCACCCTCACCCCACGGCCGCGCCCCCGCCCGCCGGGGCCGCCCCTTCCCGCCGCTGCGGGCCTCACCGGTCCCTCACGGCTCCTCGCCCGTATCCGCGGTCGCAGCGCCGGTGCCGGTGCCTGTCTCGGTCCCGGTGCCCGTTTCGCTCCCGGTGCCCGTGTCGGTCCCGGTGCCCGTGTCGGTCCCGGTGCCCGTCTCGGTCCCGGTCCCGGTCCCGGCGCGGCCGCCCCGGCCCGGCCGTGGCAACGGGGGCAGCGCCGGGCCCGCCCCGCCCGCAGCGCCCCCCGGCGGCCGGAGGAGCGCCCGGCAGCGAGCGCGGCAGGTCGCGGCTGTGGCGACACGGGGTGAAGGCGGCGTTTAGAAAGCAGATTAAAAGTAAACGTGTTAATTAAACTTGGGGAAATTTAAAAGTTGCCTATATTAAGGCTAAAGCTTCAATTTTGATCAGTACAAACAGCGATGACAGAATCACAGACTGGGACCCTGAGGATCACCCAGTTCCCAGCCTTTGCCATGGATACATACGGACATCTTCCATACGCTCCAAGCCTGACCTTGGACACTTCCAGCGATGGGACAGCCACGGCTTCTCTGGGCAACCTCTGCCACAGCCTCTTCACCCTTATAGAAAAGGAGTTCTTCCCAATATTGCACCTACACCTGCTCCGATGAAGCTGTTCCAAAAACCAAACGCTTTCCTCACACTGATCATTCCCAGACAAACAGGAAAGGCTCCTTCACCCACCTCATTAAAGCAATAACCACAAGAAGAAAGTAAAATGTGAAAGTGCTCCAGAGCGCAAAATATTTTATTTAAGAATTTACAGTGTCAAATCTTACACTTAGGAAAGACAGCTGCTCCCAGCTCAGGGGGAGCCTCCTCGCATGAAGTTGTTTGGCAGTCTCTACTGAAAGGAGAAAATAATCAGCAGCCTGGCTGGACTAGAGGAAAGCCAAGTGTCTGATTAGGTTTCAATTATAGAAAAGTAAACCACACTGACTGCTGCTGTCCATGTCGGGAATTGAGAATGGACCAGCACACAAAAGTTTCTAATCCCCCCCAAACAGTGTTTTACTTGGGCTGCATACAAACTTTTTGGGACATAGATAAGGCTACACAATCTTAGAAAAGTGGCATTATTCAGGAAAAGAAAAAACAAACAAACAAACAAAAAAAAAAAACAACTAGGGACAAATACTGGCAATTTCACATTCGTATTACTTCTACTCCTGGGCAGAAATTCAAGTAAAATCAAATAGTTTGGTGGCAAGTTCTAAATAAAATATGGCCTAATGATTTAATAAATATTTAAAGTTTATTTCTCTCTTTGCAGATAATTCAGATTCTTCAGTGAATATAAACGCTGCATACCATGGTTTTCAAGATTTCCTATATTAAACCTAAAGATTTTGAAGTCCATCTGAAGAGGTCTAATCCGTCTACTTTTAGTATGAAATTTAGCTGTTAGCTATTTAAGACCTTGGTTATTTTAGTAAGGGAGATTCAAGAACGTCTTATTACACTGATTCTGGCACTCCCAAAAGGAAAAAATAAGCAACTTTCAAGCTGTTACCCCCCAGCTGCAGAGTGCCAGCAGTTTGAGAGAAAGCAAAGTAACCGTATTGCACTTAAACAAACACTCACTCGTCAAGAGAACAGCGTTGGCTATGATACAGAGCTCCTTCCCACTATACACTTGGCTTTACAGGTAGTCTAAACCACAAACTACATACAGACTAGGAAAGATCCAAATCAAATCAGGATTAGATTACAGTCACAGTTTTCATTCAATATAGGTCGATTTATTTGGATGAGCTGTGGCCCCCTCCCGACTCCCAAAAACCAAACCAGCACGAGGCAGCTCCTGGGTGAGCCCTGTTTGGAATTGTGCATGGTCCTCTTAAGGCCACAGTGTTATTTTACAATGTGGACATGTTTGTTTTGTTTTTTTTTTTACCCCTGCTGGGAGGGGAGCATCCTTCAGAAATTAAGGAATCCCTGAAACTATGTCTCGGAAGGTCACGCTAGTAAGGTTTAAAATAAACTTAAGGAATAAATTGCCTATGCAATTTACAAACAGGTTTTGTAACAGACAGCAACTATTTCCTCTCTTGTGCCTATTCTTTATCACAGCAAAGCTATTTCTAGCCAGGTTTTGAAAAGGAAAAGTTACATATATTTCATGTTTGGTAATGGTTTGCGTAGATGAGGTGCAAGCATGAAAAAGATCACCTATCATTAGATTTCTGTCATGTCACCTGCAGCTGATACCAGGTGCCATAAGGCTGAATAGTTCTCTGCATACTCAGAACATGAGCAAGAATTCCAAATACAAAGCCATTGTATTCTACTTCAGTGTTGGATACTTCCTCTGTCCAATTCTTCCCAGTCTTGAACTTCCAGTGGCTGCAGGAGACTGTAAAAAGAACAGGGATAAACAAAATGTTCTGTAAAAGTGTCATGCTGGAGGCAAAAATTCAAGAAATCGACAATAAAGTTTTGAATGGGAACTTGTTAAATTGAACAGGTACCAGACTGATCTTTGTCCACATTTAACACCCTACATACATGCTGATAAAGCACAAAATCATGTTTTGTTCAAAGCATGGAATCAGACTGGTTTGGGTTAAAAGGGACTTTAAAGCCCACCACATTCTATCCCCTCCCATAGGCAGGGACAACTTCTGCTGTCCCAGACTGCTCCAAACCCTGTTCAGCCTGGCCTTGGACCCTTCCAGGGATCCAGGGGCAGGCACAGCTTCTCTGGGAAATCTTGAATAATAAGAAAAAGGATAAGGAAAGATGAGCTCTTCACTCACTTGTGCAAATTGAGAGGGGTTGTAGAACGGTACCGCCCCTGCTGAAGGTGCCCCCGAGGGTGGAACAGTGGCAGGCTGGGAAGAGAAAAAAATGAAATTAGACAAAGGCAGAGAGGAACTCCAGTGCCTCTCAAATGTAGTCTGCTAAGTTATACAGAGCAAATATTCACAGGAATAATGCCAACAACATGGAGAGCACAGCTTATTGGAACAACTCCAGAGTGCTGGTACAGTTTGCATCCAGATCTAGAACAGGGCTGGCTTAATGTAGGAATTGGCCAGTGTCACATGCATCAACTGCAAATAGCTCTGCAGATCCAAAGCATGCAAAACCAACACAAGACACCAGTGCAACTCCACTCAATTAGTACCTTCTGCCTTTGTTAGTACACACCTCAAGACTTGCCCCAAAATAAACATTCTATGCCAGGTTTTGCTTTATTACAAAATATCAGAAAGGTTTGTGTCACTCCTTTGTGGTGACCCCACAGCTCTGGAACTTCCAGCAGAGATGAAGCATTCCTTTAATTCCTACAGGGACTTTTGCAAATGGTTTATTACCAATTTGAGACTGGCAGCAGCAGAATGACCAAGTTTTGCTTGTATTGAGTCTTTTTAGGAGGTTGGTTTGGTTTCGTTGGAGGATGTTTGGTTTTCTTTTTGTTTAAAATCAACTCATTTATTTAGTATCCCAGAAATAAAATGATGAAATTATGTGACTCTCTTAGGATCATAAATAAAAAGCATGCCTGGATTACATGCACTCTCATAAAGACACAAAACTGAAGACCCTGTTTGAGTGTAAAAAGGAACACTACATCATGATCTACTTTTAATGATAATTCTGTGAAATGAGGGGGAAATGACTAAAAGTAGCATTAGTATTTGAGCAGATGCAAAATAAAGAGGGGAGGGGGGGGAAGTAAATAAGTTAACATAAATGAGAATGGCCAGCCACATGTACCTGATTAAAATGCTGGCTTACTTCACGTGATAATGAACTCATTGAACTAGAGCGCGAAAGCTACAAAACAGCAAGAACACACAAATACAAAAAAACACAAATAAAAAAAGTCATCATGCATGTCACTGCCTCAAGCTCTCAGTTGTTTTATTTCATTGTCAAAGTCTCACTGCCAAAGGTTAAACCAACTTCAAGTTAAAAAAAAGAAAAACCAAAAACAAACGTAAAGCCAGAAGTTAGTTTAAATCAAAAGGACTTCTTAAAGCACAAAATTATGTAGGTATAGAAAACATTTAGTAGGAACAAAGGTCATGTTACTCTGCCTGGCACACAGCAACTTGCTCTCCTTGTGTCTTGCACTTAATATTAGTGAAATTATATGCATGCATGGAGGCAACAAGAGACCCTTCAACTGCTACTGACATTTTAATCTGAAAAGGGCTTTTAAATGTACTTATATAGGAAAAGGAGATCACAGAATGTAGGGCTGTGAATGGAGGCTGAACTTCTCATATGGCTTAGAGGTCTTTTCTGTGTAATTCTGGAGGCAGCCATATCACATCTTGGCTACTGATCAGCAACTGAATCAGTTACTTGTTTTAGATGGTCCATTGTAAGACCACTACAATTAACTGTAAAAAGTCATTAATTAAATACTTTGCATCAAGCCTTACCTCGCCTGACTGGGAGCCATCAGGGTTGGGAACATGAAGTCCAGATCCAGGAGGAAGGGCTGCAGGGTTTAAGTACTGAAGGAAAACAAGGCACTTCTGTTTATCATCATTACTACAAGGCTATTCCACATTTCCCTTAGAGATCCCACTGGGGCACAACAATGTTACAGCACATCAGGCAGGTGTAATGTGCAGTGCAAGACTCTTCCCACGTTCTCAGCCCCTTTCCTGCACCCATGGAAGCTGCAGCCCTGTCCAATTAGGAACTGCAACCTCCCACTTCCATTTTCACTTGTATTTATCTTCTCCCGTTCTTTAAGTAAAACGTTAAACCACAAACCCTACAACAACATCATGCTTTAAGGACTGTGGCTGTGAAACTGCTGCTCAGAATCCTGAGGGGGCCTGAATCAGAATTTTGGGTTCTCCTACAAGACATTCCTTGGAACCCACCTCTGGCTCCACAGCTGCAGCAGGGTCTGTGTTGGTTTGGTTTGCAGCTGGTGTGTGCTCTGCTGCTCCACTCCCCTCCACGGGCTGGGATTCCCCTGGAACTACAGAGGAAATAGAATTTAGCCAAACACACCCCATAAATAGCCATAAAACCTCCCCACAATCCCATCCACACACCTGAGTTTGGAACAAACATGTTGGCAGGAATGGGCATTGGTGCCAGAGGGGCAAACAGGTCTGATGGTGCAGGAACAGCACCACTTGCCTTGGTTCCTCCTGGATTCAGGACATCCACATAACGGGCTCTGCTCCCAGCTAAACCAGAAACATGCAGAAAAACAGAAAGAACCCTTGTGTTT